GGGTGCTATACTGTTTCATCCATTGTCATTGGGTGCTATACTGTTTCATCCATTGTCATTGGGTGCTATACTGTTTCATCCATTGTCATTGGGTGCTATACTGTTTCATCCATTGTCATTGGGTGCTATACTGTTTCATCCATTGTCATTGGGTGCTATACTGTTTCATCCATTGTCATTGGGTGCTATACTGTTTCATCCATTGTCATTGGGTGCTATACTGTTTCATCCATTGTCATTGGGTGCTATACTGTTTCATCCATTGTCATTGGGTGCTATACTGTTTCATCCATTGTCATTGGGTGCTATACTGTTTCATCCATTGTCATTGGGTGCTATACTGTTTCATCCATTGTCATTGGGTGCTATACTGTTTCATCCATTGTCATTGGGTGCTATACTGTTTCATCCATTGTCATTGGGTGCTATACTGTTTCATCCATTGTCATTGGGTGCTATACTGTTTCATCCATTGTCATTGGGTGCTATACTGTTTCATCCATTGTCATTGGGTGCTATACTGTTTCATCCATTGTCATTGGGTGCTATACTGTTTCATCCATTGTCATTGGGTGCTATACTGTTTCATCCATTGTCATTGGGTGCTATACTGTTTCATCCATTGTCATTGGGTGCTATATGGTGCTTCACTGCATACCGTCCATTGTCATAAGGTGTCCTGTTGTACCATCCATTTCTGTAATCAGGCAAGTTATTTCCATTCATTCATTCAGAAGTTTCATTGCAAGATCAATATCAGAGAACATATTGAGATCTGATCTCATATAGAAAGTGAAATTATAAACATCTTACTGAAGATGGCATTATATCCAGATCAAATTTGAACACAAATGATTCAGTGTAAACAAAGAACTTAATTCACAAAAGGCATTAAAAATCATGCCAATATAAAAGCCAATGACTTGCCAACTTCGTCTTAAAACAATACCGTAAACTGTGTATACCGTAGACATTCTATTTCGTTGTTAAGGTTGTCTAAAATAAYAGTAATTCTTAGTGTATCAAGTTTTTAGTATTAAATGGCAGTGGATAGCAGGGGTTTTTTTAGTGTAAATGTTTAAAGCTTTAGTTTCATTTATATCTCTCTACACTCACACATCTATGTTTAATATGTAAATTAGACAACCTGGACAACTAAACAAAATATCTTCAATCCCCGTGTAGTTTTAGAAGACTAATTGTGATCAAGACATGTGACTATCACTTCATGACAAGTGACAAGATGTTGTATCGAAATACAGAAATTGACAAAGAATTTGAGAAGTCACTCAGAATATTACTGAATATTACAGGCCAGATTGGCCGCCACCAATGAATATCACAGGCCAGATTGGCCACCACAAATGAATATCACAGGCCAGATTGGCCGCCACAAATGTTATGAAACCTAATATTTAATCACATAATCTTCTTTTGTAAAAAGGAAAGCAAAAAAGATGGCACATCATTGCACCTGGCCAATTTTATTTGACCAAATCAAAAGGTAAAATATAAAGCTAATAGATCTGAAACATACAGGCAATTGTATAATGCAATCCAGATAGTGAAACCTAGAGACCAGTAGTGAACAATATTTGAATCCACACTCCGATGTTCATGGCTAGCAAATCAATTTCATTCTGTCATCATGACCATCATAATCATCATCAGTATGCTCTTCTTCTTGGCAATGTAAAGGCTCCRGAAAATTGACTCCTATAGTCATAAATGTGATAGCATTTGGATATTACACAGTCTGACATTTATAATTGCTATGGAACTCAATGATATCATCACTTCTTTCATCATCATCATCAATTGCAGGCACCTGATCCAAGAATGTGTTTTATTCCAGCTTTATAGGCATGTYAGTTTATTAAGCTTCCTTTGATCGTCATTCAAGTCTGATCCAATCCATTAGTCTAAGATTTTATATTCTAAGTTCTCTGTTCCAAGTTTGATCTGTTCGGATTTTATCATGTAATTTTCGATTTACCTCATAAGCGTACATGTGTCGGTATAGTTCGTTCAACAAATTTTGCATCGAAAGTATATCCTAGCTCCTCATACTACATKGTCACAGTACTATATACAGTGTGCAATCATTTATACTCCTGTGTCGACTCTTCATATGTCATCGTTCGGTAAGTAATATGCAGCTGAAAACTTGCCATTGAATTTCTAAAGATCCCTGAGATATAGGTCCAATATGTATTGCATGCAGCTGAATACTCACCAATATGAATGGATTTCTGTAGGTTGCTTTTTGTTTGGCTATATATACCCCACCTGAATTAATGGCCCTGCATTACTCACCTGCAATAGTGTTGCAGTATACTAAATTATAATTGGTCTGATAATGATGCAAAACGGGCCCCATGAAACTAAGGCTGGATATACTCAACAAATAAATCTGTCAGTTTATCAGAGAATAAATTTKTGGATCTGTATAATATTTAGTATAAAAATCATTTGCATAAAATCAAAACAGGAATATAACTGCTTGTTGAAAATCACAGACAATCAAAKTCATGTATCACAATTAATTAACTATAACATATTTTCATTTGATATCACTGTAAATTTCTTCTTTGTCCAGTTTTAGCATTCATGGAAATAATATGATATGAACCAATTGAAAGAATCTGAGAAAACTGAAAGTTTTTTTTAAAATATACTTACAGTCCATCTAGTGGTGCTTCTTTGGACAGCAGCTGTGATTGATAGTCTATGTCTACATTATTACATTACTATTCATACCCATTGAACTTTACAATGGTATCTTTACAATGATTGACTTTAAATATCGGTACTTAATAGATCAAAAAAAGTTACAACAATTTATCATTTCTTACAACAGTAAACTACCCTATAAATTATTTCATTGTTTTTGCTTATCAAAAAACTTTATTTCTTTCGGYAAAAGCAATTAATATAAAGCATCCTATTACAAATATTCTAAACTGCAACTACTGACTTGKTGARGCAGGATCCAGCAGTGATGTCATAACCAGKTGAAAAGAAGATCTTYAGTCCAACACSTTYRAGTTTTGTTTGCAAAAAAATACTGTTAAAACTTTATCACTTCAAAAGCACACCATTTTTTTTATTTYTAATATTTTCACTAAGTATAAAATGATAAGT